CGTTATCGACGACATAGAGATTGCCGTGTCGATCGAATGACAAACCGAAGGGATAATTGAGTTGATTTGATTGTCCTCCTTTTCCATTTCCACCAATAATAACACTTCCTTGTGTAGCTCCTTTCGTCCAACGCATGATTCGATCATTCCCTCCATCAGCCACGTAGACAGTGCCCAATTGATCGACAATGACTCCTTGAGGAATTGACAATTGTGTAAGACCATTTCCATATCCTTGAACACCAGCCACGACAATGCCTTGTTTTGCACCTTCCACCCATTTCATCACACGACCATTTCCATGTTCAGATACATATACTGAATTATTTCGATCGACGAATACGTAGTGTGGGTGATGGAGTTGATCGAGACGATCTCCAAATCCATTGCCACCTGCAATCACTGTTCCTTGAGATTCTCCTCTTCGATATCGTCTCACTTCATGTTTTACATAGTCAACCACATAGAGAAATCCATTTTCATCCATTGTTAAACCTCGACAATCGATGTTGGAGATGATTGTTTCTCCACTTGTCCCATTTCGACGAGGCCATCGAACTACTCTTCTATTCCCACGATCGCAGATGATGAGACTATCAGTCTCTTTGTCGACAATCACATCGAATGGAACAGACAATTGATGAGCTCCATTTCCTTGTCCATTTCCACCTGCAACCACTTGGCCATTCGTCGCATCCCTTTTCCATTCCATAATACGATTATTGTTTTGATCAGCAACATAAATTGTTTGACCATCATCCACATATAAACCCCATGGGATGTAGAGTTGATTGATTCCATTGCCATATCCATTTCCTCCAGCGACAGTGAGACCATTCTGTTGCCATCGAGCATTTGGATGAATATCAATGGAACTTCCACGTAATGGGACAAAAGCTGCAAAAAAACAAACATTCTTAGTCATATTCTATCTCCATAATGCAAAAGGTATTGGTTGATATTTCTACTTGGAGAACGGAAGAATAGCAGCGGTTTCTTTCTTCTCTGAGCGCAGCTTCAATTTTTTAAAACATGTACTAATACTGAATAGTCTGTTGTTGGAGAATTTCTAATGCATTAGTTCTGAGAGAGATAATATAGTAATGCAATGTTGAGTATTAGTTTGTTTGACACTGACAACATATACAAGAGTTTCAAAACAGTAAAAAGTTCTTTTTATGTAAATCAGATTTACTTAAAATGAATTAAGAACAACTTAGTTTGTTTTCGCAATGCCTTCTGCTCAGTGATATTACTGGAAAGATTGTAGCCTTATCATTCGGATTTTTTATTCAACTGTTACTATGAAAAGTTAGTTTATCTTCTTTATAAATGAGTAGACTATCTTGTTTTAACTCATTAACATTTTCTGTTGTTGATTCTTCGAACCTTACTAAGCATTTAGAAATCAGTATTATTGATCGGTAAAAATCTATTCTCCTACGTAAGCTATCTACAATTGTAGCTGTCAATAGAATAGAACGAAGAAAACGGGTGTGATTTTGCATATTATTCGTTGATGAACATCAATATTGTTAAAATTTGGAAGTAAATAGTGTCCTTAAAAGGACTCACAAGGACGTGGGTGTTAGCCTTCTTTTCAACCACACTCACACCCTCTATTTCCTGTTCTTATCCATATTCTATACTCGGTCTTACAGAGAATTCTGTTGCTTGAAATGACCAACTACCTCATTTAAAATTCATGTAGATCGACTCATATAGCACCCAACAGAATAGATAGTATAGAAGATGCAATTGAAATTGTTTATGCGGTCATTTCAGATTTATAAAAACAAAAATGAATATTTAACTTAATTTATAATATAGAAATTTTCTATTTTAATCTTTCAAACTTTTTTAATTTTTATAGCTTAACAATATCAAATGATTCACAATAAAAATATAAATAAAACAAAAAATTTTCTATCTAGCCTCTTCTAGAAATGAAAGTACAGCTCGATAGTTATCAAATCCATGAATGTCAACAATAAAATTTCTTAAGCTTTTGATTTATTTATTTGTCATTTCTTTACATGATTTTAAAATTTCTAACAACAAATCCCAAATTTCTTACGATCAGAATTAAAGACTTCTACCCTTAGACTTCATTAGAGGTCACATTAATAAAGTTTGTGGGAAACATTGGCGAAAATCTTATTGCGTAGTACAACATTAATCAAGAAGCAGTTCGTAACAATTAATCTTCATAGACCTTCATAGAATCTCGACTTTGAGAAAGATTTTATTGTAATCAAGAGAGTATCGAGTTTGCACTAAAAGTTAAACGATTCTATATTGCATGTGAAGAAAATATCCACATCCTTAGTCTACTATAGTTTTATTGTAAATTAGTCATTATCGATAATATTTGTTTTTTTTTTCCAAGACCATGTAAGTGAGCTATTTATAACTACATAAATTATGGTCAATATTTCTTTGTTAATTTAGTGAAATCAGTTTAATCTTAGAAAAACGTATAAAAACGAATAGTCTCAGTCAGAATTAAAATAATTAAATCAAAATGAATTTTTTTCAAATCATTGAAAGCGTATTGTAACACTTATCTGATTGATGTATTTTAAAATGACTTTTATCTGATTTTCTGTAACAAATTCTGAAATTATCTAGCTTTATCAAATAATGAACATCAAATGCTCTTTTCAGAATAAGAGCTCTGACACTCGTGTTGTTGTTGATCTAGTTAGTTGAAGAAACAATTAAAATTTGGTCATCGACACTGCATTGTTTCTTCGGATTATGTGATATGAAAACTAAATGATCACAATCGTATGTCGAGAGTCCAACATTTGAATATTGAGAAATCATACTTTTTCTCATTTTTCGAACATTAGCCGGTTAAAATGTCTTTGTCAGAACTAATTGATTTCTGATGTAATTGTGTAATTGAAAGTTGAAACAAGTTTTATACGACTGCCAACTTTCCTCTATTTTGCGAGTAAGATTCTCGATGTGTAACTACAGTGGAGGTCATAAGTCTGGCTCCACTTTTTTGTTTTGAGTCGTGCATTAAAA